TTCTCCACCACCGCCCACGGGAGGTATGGGGTGCATAATAGATACATGAATCTGAAATCGTAGGCTTCTTAGTTGGCCAATGTATTTGTAATAGGTATCCTTGATGGATGGAAAGTTGTCAGTGGATGGATCTTATACGTCAGTAATTTAGTGTTATTACAGCTTAGGAAGAAAGCCTTGACACGTTAATTATCTGAATCACAGTAGTTTTTAAATTGTTATTGTTCTCTGGATGGTTCAATTGAAGGTCTTTTTAACACGAGTTAGTCTTTTGAATCAAAGTTTAATTCCTGAATGGTTTACTGGTGTGTTATTTGAATCCATATTTTGCTCGCTGTCATGCAGAGGAATTCAAAACGAACATGTGTGTGTTGTGTACATTATAGTATAAAGTTCCTGGATTCTTACCACCAGATGCCTGCAGGCGATGAGTCACAATAACGTGGCTAAAGTATGTTGACCAGACCACACACTATAGTGAAGGGACGACGACGTTTCGGTCCGTCCTGGACCATTCTCAAGTCGATTGTGAGAATGGTCCAGGACGGACCGAAACGTCGTCGTCCCTTCACCTTCTAGTGTGTGGTCTGGTCACCAGATGTCTCTCTTGTACAACGCCTTCGTTCACCCTTTCATTTCCATCTCAGAAGTTTGCTTAATATGGATTCCACTTTATAGATTGGTTGCTCTGTCATGTATATAACCAACGTGACATAATACATGGGCCGTCATGTATATAACCAATACACATAATACATGGGCCGTCATGTATTATATAACTTGGCGACCTGTTGTGACCAGTGTCGATCAATATTGTGCTTGTAACTCTACCTGGTGACCTGCTTTACCCACAGTACTGATCAATATGCTACACCCCAACGTTAAATAGATGATAGCCAAGTTTAGAAATACCACCGGCGCCGACACGGTGGGGTAAAGTATTGATTTCTCAAGGTTGTAATGAACACCACTTAGGTGAACAAGCACCGCTTGACAGTTTTTGTATTTCCACGTCTCAGTGTAAGGAATAGTATATTAGGCTCCACTTCAAGTCCCTTTCCTGGCCCGCTGACACTTCTGGAGCCTTTAACTACATCCATACCTTCCTCTGTGACACTCATACCTTCCTCTGTGACAGTCATACGTTCCTCTGTATTTAGCTAATATAATATCAGTTTACCACTGGTGTGTGTGAGGATAATCGTATCAATAATGTTACTCCAGGGATGTTGGGTGTATTACGCGTGCAGGCAGGCTTGGATCAATGATCGACTTACAATGATAGCTCGCTGAATCATGTCAAGGGCTCTCTTGCGCAGTGCTGTGCACAATCCACTCTCAACCGAAAAGTTCGATTCTCCCGGCAAGACAGACACGTTTTGGTAACGTTTCTTTTTACCTGATGCTTCTGTTCATCTAGCAGTAAATAGGCACCCCGGGATTTAGTCAGCTGTTGTGGGGTGGCATTCTGGGAAAGATCATCAGTGTGCCTAGCCGTAGGCGCACCCTAGTGGGACCTGGATGAGGCTAACAGGCTTCCTCCTACCCGAAACGGGGAAACAATAAGCACCAGCTCCAGTGTGTGTTGTGATGATTACCTTGTCACTGTTTTGGCCTCAATTACACGCCCCGGCTTGCTTTCCTCCATTACTTTGTCTTGATTGTTAGGCATACCCACGAAGAATATGTTTTGACAGGGATAATATAAGCGGAGGATCCTTTTGTGGGACCGACACGGCAAGTTTGCAAATACGAGGAAGAAACAAATTCTTTTGATGAACCGATTACTCTGAATTTCCCGCCACTATCAGGTCGAGATCTGACACGACTTATAATATATCTGGCAAGATCTCTTCAAATATCTTTTGCAAATGGTCTAGGCATTTTATGTTGTTGATACCATTTGTGAGCGTCTTGCACGCCGGTCCTAGCCTAGTTGCACACAGCGGTGGTCCAACATTAAAGTAATTTCGGACTATAGGCATACCTAGTTCTTCAATGCTAGGCATACCTAGTTCTTCAATGTCAGATGCATATTGTTCTTTATGCAATTACACGTTTTTACACGTTTAATGGGCACTTAAAACAATTATGAGTGCTTCATCTTGTAATTTTTCCAGTGCTTGAGAGGCACCTTTGCTGCTATTTAAGACTAAGACTGGTTCAAGATAGTTTATCAGAGATTTATATGAGCCAGGACCATCCTTGAAACAATAATTTTGAGGGATGAAAGGATTTTCCGTTGTAACTTCTAAGGCCAGTGTAAACATACGCTCTATTTGTGTTTGTGGCAACACGCGAGACTTCTCTTACACGACTTGTGGTTCTTCATATTTTATAAAGGTCTAAGAGTTTAATGTTTTTGTCAAGTTCGTAATATATCCATCCTCAGTGGAAGCTTTACTTGAGTGCTAACTCATCCATGGTTTCCACTTGCCAGATAAACAATGGGTCAAGCTAAAGTTTGTGGTGATGGCGTGATACACAAAACATATATATTACAGTATTTTGTGTAAGTAATGCGGACTAGGAGTCAAAAACGTGCTAGAACCAGACATTAAGATTATTTCGGGAAAACAAAGGTTTCTACAATGTTTGTGGTTTCTTTTAGTGTTTCATCGTGTACCCCCATACTCATCCTGTGAATGAAGGTGCACCCATAACCATCCTGTAAATGGAGGTGCACCTCAAACCCCATCCTGTGAGTGAAATGCACTCAATACTCACTAATGCCCTTGATGCTATTGTAACCCCTACAGGAGTCTCCCTCCTGCTAGACCAGAGATCAGAGATCAACCATCTGCAGAAGCGAGGGGTTGCGACTGTGTTAACAGTCTGGATCGAACATTCTTTTCCCTTCCATAATTAATCTCCTCCCTCCTTGTGGCCTGAGTGTCTTGTACGATAGTTGTCAATCATTTAATGCAGAAATTCCTGAAGTGTTTTTGCACATGAAGTGGTAAGCGCTCGCCCGTTTAGTTACAAGATCAATCCTCATAAGCACTTGTCAAACAAGTCTTAATGAAAATTCTTGGAGGGTGATGCGGAGCAGAGCACCCCTTACAAGCTATCAATGTTTGTAGTTTTAACCAACGAAAATCACCAGCTGACAGCAGTTGGTGGAGTTTTCGGTGTATATATATATATCCCGTGTGAGGGAGACATAAGATTAGAGTGTTGGGTGCCAGGCATCAGACTGGACCGCAGGTCATCACGCGGCCGTAGGGAGAGGCAGTGAATCCACCCGGGCCGAAGAGCAGTATCCAGAAGGTAATGTCGCTGACGTCGGATATTAATCCACGTACAAATTTACTTAACATTTGCCAGTGTTAAGGTAGGGACTTAGAGCTTGATGAATATCATAATTTTGTCCTAAATAAACGTTGACATCTGTCTGTGTCACTCGCCTCCCCCATTGTCATCTCCCGTGTGCATTCAGGTTCAAAGATATTGAACCTATCAATCCTCTGGGTTCAGATTACCAACATACAGTCATTAAGTAATTACATCTAGAAGCTAAATACTCATACCCTGCCTAAGTAAAACAGAAACAAGCAACACTTAATTTGCCAGCCAGAGGCTTAGGGCCAGTAATATCCCTGTAAAGAAAAAAAATCGGACACTTGAGGCAAAGTGAAATTCACACCAGTTCCTCCATCTATCATCATTCTATTATGCAGGAAGTACCGCACGTCTATGGGTCATCCAATAAGGTTAGCAGAGCTACAAGTATCTCTGGGAGTTTGTAACATCTGCTGATGTAGATTTGACTAAATGTAAACTCTGTCAGCAGAACAATTCGCATACTTTGCGTCATTATATAATGGAATGTGAAAAAATCGCGAAATTTAGAGATAACACCATCGATGGAGTCCAAGAAATGTTTAAGTACTTCATTCATAATGATGTGCTGCCCGAAATCTTAGCGAAGTATCCAAAATTTGCTTACAGTAGGTAATGCATGCACATGACTGTAAAGCTGCCGCCCAGTTGGGTGGGTGTGCAGCAAGACTAGTAACTGTGTGACCCACTATAGATGTAAAGTGCCTTGTATAGTGACTGTTGTGAGCCTCTTGTTGAATCACTTGTGATACAAAAGATTACTGATGTGTGTATTTGTGTAGGTGATTAAATATGTATGTGTATGTATATATATGTACATGTATGTATGAGTATGTATACATGTATATATAACATTAATGATTGTGTAACTAGCGTCGAAAGATTGTTATTTGCTTAGCTAAACGAACTAGAGGGTTCAGTTCCTAACCCGATTATGTGCTTTTGTAACCCTTTACACCACCGCCCACGGGATGGGTATGAGGTGCATAATAAAGAAAGAAATTGAATTGATTCAAACAACGTAAGATAATCGTATTTTACAGTATATTAGAATAATAACCAGGGTTATTTTCTCTATTTTTATTTCAAGTACCTCTTGGTACTTGGAATAATTGGGCTAATCCCATTTCACCATAACTACCGACATTAGTTTTCTTATTTAATCGAAATCTCGGATGTAACGAAGAATTATTTGTTCATTCATCATTTTTTGTCAATTTTACTGGAAATTATCTACTTAAAATTATCTGTTAGATTAAGGACTTTCCCAAAACGCTATGGATGCTAGTGGCTTTACAAGAATGTAAACTCCTCATCATTACTGTGTACTCTTTAACCCCCAATGTACCTTCTTGTATATAAATAAGTAAATAAATAAATAAATAAACATCTCAAGAATTACAATGAATGTGTGGGCGTGGCGTGTGGATGACGTCGACCTGGCGGGCGTCTGAGCAGCCAATAGGGTGAGCTTATTGGACAACTTGCGTCATCGCTAACCCTCCAGCTTCCATGTATGCAATTCATAAAAAAGTATAATTATACAGCTTCTTAAGCTTATATTAAAAAAATACACTAATATAAGTTTGCATTTAAAAAGACACGAGTTAAATATAAGTATAACTAAGTATTTTGAGGCGAAAAAAGGGTGGAATAACTTTTGTTGTGGGTGAGTTGAAGACTTTTAGAAGTGAGAGTGAGTGTGTAGCTGGCAGTGTTGGGCTCAGTGCCACTGCTGACACCGAGGGGATAACTACGGCTGCTCCAGCATCACGCCGTCTCACTCACTACTACTCTTACCTTACCCACACATGTAAGTAGACACTCTTTCAGCCGTCAGAGAGACGTGTCGTACAGGTCTCGGTAAATATTTATCTACCTTCACATTAGAAAGTGTGAGAGTGGACACCAGAGCTCAAGGCAGAGTTGCCAGCATTCATGAACTTGGGATGACGTGAGTGGCGTTCCAGTGCTCGGGTCCAGCTGGTCCAGTGCTCGGGTCCAGCTGTTACAGTGCTCGGGGCCAGCTGGTCCTGTGCTCGGGGGCCAGCTGTTACAGTGCTCGGGGCCAGCTGTTACAGTGCTCGGGGCCAGCTGTTACAGTGCTCGGGGGCCAGCTGTTACAGTGCTCGGGGGCCAGCTGTTACAGTGCTCGGGGCCAGCTGGTCCAGTGCTCGGGTCCAGCTGGTCCAGTGCTCGGGGCCAGCTGTTACAGTGCCCGGGGCCAGCTGGTCCAGTGTTCGGGGCCAGCTGTTACAGTGCTCGGGGCCAGCTGTTACAGTGCTCGGGGCCAGCTGTTACAGTGCTCGGGGCCAGCTGTTACAGTGCTCGGGTCCAGCTGTTACAGAGCTCGGGGCCAGCTGTTACAGTGCTCGGGTCCAGCTGTTACAGTGCTCGGGTCCAGCTGGTCCAGTGCTCGGGTCCAGCTGTTACAGTGCTCGGGGCCAGCTGTTTCAGTGCTCGTACCAGCTGGTCCAGTGCTCGGGGCCAGCTGTTACAGTGCTCGGGGCCAGCTGTTACAGTGCTCGTACCAGCTGGTCCTGTGCTCGGGGCCAGCTGGTCCTGTGCTCGGGGGCCAGCTGTTACAGTGCTCGGGGCCAGCTGTTACAGTGCTCGGGTCCAGCTGTTACAGAGCTCGGGGCCGGCTGTTACAGTGCTCGGGTCCAGCTGTTACAGTGCTCGGGTCCAGCTGGTCCAGTGCTCGGGTCCAGCTGTTACAGTGCTCGGGGCCAGCTGTTTCAGTGCTCGTACCAGCTGGTCCAGTGCTCGGGTCCAGCTGTTACAGTGCTCGGGGCCAGCTGTTACAGTGCTCGTACCAGCTGGTCCTGTGCTCGGGGCCAGCTGGTCCTGTGCTCGGGGGCCAGCTGTTACAGTGCTCGGGGCCAGCTGTTACAGTGCTCGGGGCCAGCTGTTACAGTGCTCGGGGCCAGCTGGTCCTGTGCTCGGGGCCAGCTGGTCCTGTGCTCGGGGCCAGCTGGTCCTGTGCTCGGGGCCAGCTGGTCCTGTGCTCGGGGCCAGCTGGTCCTGTGCTCGGGGCCAGCTGGTCCCCATTTATTACTGCTATATCCATAGTATTCAATTTACATTATACTGTATAGTAAAAATCGGTTTAAAATATGGTAATACAGTAATAGTTTTTCATTATCCATATTAATACTGTCAAAGAATAATATACTGTTTCAATATCTAAATGTATAATACACTGAAGTGTATAAGGAAATGACTTACGTAATGTTGTTGGTAAATCCTCCTCCTCCATATTGTCCAAATTACAGTATCTACAACTGAAATTGTTTAAAGTGTGTGACGTGATCTGGAATAGAGTAGTAACTATTCTGGCAGGTGTTGCACCAATCTCACATTAATAAAAAAAAAAGAGAAAATAAAGTAAAATAAAACTGCTGGGTCCATTTACTGTTTGTCAATTGCGGGCAAAAAAACAAGAGGAATAAAAACTTGAAACATTTAATATAACAAAAAAGACTTTAATTTTACACAAAATGCTAAGTAACAACTAAGGAAAACAAAACTCCTTATCCATTTGGCTTAAACACAATCAAAAGAGAAATATATACAGTATATATATATATATATATAATGTGACCTTTTACGTTAATAATAAAGGTGAAGGTAATACTTTATACAAAATGCTATGTGCGTCTACCGTCACCTGTAGGCGAGGATATCTCGCTCACCCCGTTCTTCCTTGCTTCTTACTACTCGTCTTGTCTCTAATATGACTTTACCTGAGAGAACAGCGCTCATAACTGTATCTTTCTATTCATGAAACATTAAAAGGACCAGCTCGATGAGGACGAACAGGGCTTAATGAAGCCTGCTACTTCTCGATGAGGCTTACCAAGGCTGGAGAGAGAGGCTTACCAAGGCTGGAGAGAGAGAGGCTTACCAAGGCTGGAGAGAGAGAGAGTGAGAGGCTTACCAAGGCTGGAGAGAGAGAGAGAGAGAGAGTGAGAGGCTTACCAAGGCTGGAGAGAGAGAGAGAGAGTGAGAGAGGCTTACCAAGGCTGGAGAGAGAGAGGCTAATAAATTGTTTTGTAGAATTTTGTTTTGCTAGAATTCACCACCCATGTCTGTAATGTTAATAAAAAATGTTTGTATCATATCCTTTTCTAAAGAGGACACAGTACAGTTATACGTCACCGGCAATTCCTGGGTTGGAATTCATTACCAAATTTCAATATATCCAAGCATTTTCATTGTTAAATGCTATTATCATATGCATTATTTGTTTTTTTCAACAATATTATTGACTGATTTTTTATTTATTTAGAAATACATCACATTTCAGCAAAATTCAGTATATTGCATTGGTCTTTTGCAACCAACTGTGCCCACTGGGTAGTGGCTCTTGGATAAACTCAAGTAAAAACAGATACTGTAGATTTATGTATCATAAGTCAAATCTTTATTGAGAATTTTAAACATGTAATCCGTCTCTATCTCTGCATATTTCATTAAGCTTTGAATACAAGATTCTTTGAACCGCTGTTCTGGATATGTTGAGCCTTTAACTAACTTCCCTAACTGACATCGTTGGTTCATTCTCGAACAATTGTCATACTCCTTCAGTACTGTCACTTTGTCCTTGGGCGTCCTCTTCCTACGTCTTCATGTACGGGTTCTGAAAAAAAACATGAAATGGTTTAGAAATTTATGCTTCACATTTATGACTTTAAACATCAATAAACAATAGTTTTTAAAAATTGGTTCAATTTCATAGAAATAGGTAGCTAATTCCGGGACACCCTATATAATACAGTATTATAATTGATATACTGTATATAACTGCACCTTGGGCAGCATTAATTAAGGAATATCAGGTTAGTCAAAGCATATCAGCATTCCTAATTTATATATACAAAATGGGAAGGAAAAATAGTCTCGTATAAACAAAGATATTGTATGTTACAGAGAGTGAGAAGAATGCCGTGCCCATTCATGTCACGCCTGTCGGCACAGTTTGTACGTCACTACAGCTCGGCATTGGTACGCCAGTATGGGGAGATGTGCCCTGTCATCAGTTCTATGACCTCTACCCGAGCATTCAACTCCCTCTCCTCCAACAAGGACCCTGGTTAGTATCCCATGCCTTTTCCTTCACCACCTTCCCTCTCTTTAATTCCTCCTAACACTCCCTCACTATCTCTAGCACTCTCAAAACATTTCACATCTTAGTTGTTGTAACACTTAATGTTAGTGACCCATTGATGTTTCCTTGTGTTTAACATTGTTAACTTATACTAGATTGATTATGTTTTAGTACAGTACCTGGATAGGGAAAGACTATTGGGCACGTTTTCTTATGCCTACAGCTTCTGTTCACCTAGATTTAGTAAGTAGGTATCTGGCAATAAATTGGCTGTTGCGAGTCAAATCCTGGGGAATGGGTCAGTCATTGACAAGGGAAGACAACCAATAGGCCTAACGGACTTCCTGTACATGCCATTGGGAAGTGAAATCCAGAATGCAGGCTGTGCCAGCCTCAGTGTCCCTCCCCCTCAAGCAACAAACACCCCCCCAACCCAGGGCAAGACGGACACCCCAAGTGCGAGGACAGCCCAAAGCGAGGAAGCCCTCTAAAGGGGAGTGATTCCTGAACGCCCCAGGAAAGATAATTCTGACAACGCAAGGGCAACAGTACCATGCTATTTATAATATGTTCTTCTTCATAATGGTAGTATAGTTACAGGACACCACTAAGCTCATGGTGTCCCGTCTTCCCAGTACTCTGTCGTATAACCCTTTGAAACCACTGATGGTTTTGGCCTCCACCACCACCTCGCTTAGCTTGTTCCAACCGTCTACCACACTGTTTGCAAAAGAAAACTTTCTAATATTTTTTCGACACCTTTGTTTCCTTAGCTTGAATCTTTGTCCTCTTAGCTTGAATCTTTGTCCTCTTGTTCATGAAGTTGCTGGTTTCAGGAATTCCTCTTTGTCAATTTAGTTGATTTCTGTTAATATTTTGTAAGTGATGATCGTATCGCCACTTTTTCTTCAATCTTCTAGTTTTGGCATGTTTAAGGCCTTTAGTCTCTCCTCATAACTCATTTTTTCAGTTCCAGAAGCCATTTTGTGGTATGCCTTTGCACCTTTTCCAGTTTATTTATGTGCTTCTTGAGATATGGGCACCATACAACTGCTGCATATTCCAATTTTTATCTCACTAAAGTCATGAACAGTTTCTTTACTATTTCACCATCCATATAATTAAATGAAAGTCTGAAGTTGGAAAGTGACGCATACACTCCTCTCACAATGTTCTTTATTGGTAAAGTTTACTATTCAAAACCACTCCTAGGTCTTGTTCTTTATTAGAGTTCTTCAACTCCTTTCCACAAAATTTGTAAGTTGTGAGTGGTCTATTTTCTCTGATTACACATTCTATAGCATGGCATTTATTCAAATTTAATTCCATTGGCCACTTGACGCTCAAAGCACTTATTTTATCTAGATCAATTTGAAGGGCATGACTATCATCGGCATCTCCCATCATCCCCAGTATCTTAGTCTCGTCCACAAACATGTTCATATAATTCTGTATTCCTTCTGGTAGATCGTTTATGTAGACGATGACCATTAATGGTGCAACAACTGAACCCTTTGGTACTCCACTAGTAACGAAGTAAATGTGGTGTAAATGATATGATGTTCTTCACGGTGGTCTGTTGTTCTTTGCCATAGTGTTTTATATTTGGTGTTCTTTAGGTATGATGTTCATGTTATGTTGACCTTGTTGTAGTGTTCATAGTACTGTACTGTACAGTATGATGTTCTTAATATGGCATTTATTTTATTATATAGTATCCAATTATAATATTATAATTGATATTCAAAATTTTTGGATCTGATTGCGGTTTTTCTTAGCAGAAGGAGAGAAGAAGTGCCCCTTTTTGAACGGCAAGAATTTGGTGAAGCAAGCTAGCCGAGAAGTGCAAGAGGATGTCATTGATCTTTCTGCTAGGGAACAAGGTAAAGAACTTTTTATGATTTTGTTTTATCTTCATTATAGGTTTAGTGTATTTATAAATAAACTTTGTCATACATTTATTCAGTGATACTGTAGGTGATTGCTTTTCAGGTGCAATATTATTCATATTTTGTGGATAGTTGCATTGTATGGATGACAAACGGTGTATAATTTTTCAAGAAGTTTTCATTATTTCAGTTATGTATTATTTATTTACATGAATTGGCCTTTCACAGGCCCTGCTGGATTTGAAGGTAAACCAAAGAGAAGGCCAAATATCCCTTTTTAGCTTCTCAGGCTGTCCCTGATAAGAAAGCTTATGGTATGCTTTCAAATAGATAGCTTAGTTAGCAAAAATTTATCAAAGTTTATATTAAAGCAAACAAGAAAGAAAATCTTTCAGTAATGGAACGTGTATAATCGTGGTTGGCATGTGGGTGTCAGGCAGAGAGATTGTAGACAACAGTGGGTGGCAAAGTGGATGGGTAGGTAGGCAGGCAGGCGGGTAGCAGGGCAGTCAGGCAGGTGGGCGGCGTGTTGTGACAACACTAAGTTGTGTTGTCACTTTGCCCTTTTGGGCTTGTGGAGGTTCTTATTTTTCAACTTATTAGGCTTAGCCTAGGGTATGTGTGGTTGAACCCCCCTTGCTGTCTTCTTGGCTTTGGGTAGCCAGGGTTGCCTGTACTATTTAGGAATTACTCGTGTAGCATTCCAAGTTCCTGGGCTTCTTGCAGGGCTCATTAATGTTGTAATGGCATGGTGAGTTCCCTCCCTTCCTCCTGCAGGGCTCATTCACTCTTCAGGCCCTGAAAAAACCCACAGGCTCAGTTATACTATGGATATAGTATAACTGAGCCTGCTTTTGCTTTGTGCGATTTTGAGGGTCATTGCTTAATCCCTTCAGCTCGGGAAAGAATCTTGTTGCATATCTTTGGACCTTTTCTAGTTTTTCCTTGTACTTGTAAAATGTTCCATGCTAAGGGATGCATATTCAAATGAGTCTCACCTTTACTGTATACAGGGGGGCTTTCTTGTCTAAGTTTCTGAAAGATACATAGACATTGGCCAGTATACCATATGCAGCTGTTGTTATTTGGCTAATGTGGGCTTTTGGCATCAGATTTGGGGTTATGTACCACTCCCAGGACTTTCTCTTTTCCTGATTGAAGAATCTCTCTTCCCTTCTTCCTGTACTGCTGTACTGGTCTTCACACACTGTTCCAATCCTCATAACTTTGCATTTTACAGAGGTAAATTCTTTCACCCATTTATCAAACCATTTCAGGAGTGTGTCCTCTGTCAGTGTGTTTCAGATTTACCTTGCTATTGTCTTTTGTTATGTTCTACCGTCCTTGTAGCTTATGTTCTTGTTAGTGATCTAGCATCCTCTGCTTTGTGTGTGTGCATCTATGAGAGGATCAAATTTTGGCCTCTGGTCTCCAGTAGGCTTTTAGTGACTCACGAGGGCCTAGTGTGACACGTGTGGCTTTGCAACACATACCACACCAGAGAACTAATTTGGCTAGGAACAAGGAACCACCAAAAAACAGTTTTTCATTTCATTCTATGCAAATTTTTTTGTAAATGGGGTGTTTTTTAATATTTTTTTGTCCTTTATTAATTTTGTTTTCATCTTGTTCATTTAACTTGTCCTCTACTAAACACAGCTTTCTTATGTTGCATTTTCAGAATTGAGCCTATTCCCATACAATGAATTTTTCCAAGAGCAAATTGCACAGAAAAAGGCTGACCATTCCTACCGTGTGTTCAAGAAGGTTGCCCGCAGTGCTAGTGAATTCCCCCGAGCTAAGGAGTATTCATGGGGAGAGAAAGACATCACTGTATGGTGTTCCAATGATTATTTAGGTATGTCAACTTAATTATCAGAATTGATGTACATTGCATTTTAAACATAATGTAATCATGTCATGGCAACATTGCAATTTCTACATTAAAGTGCATTAATTAATTACTTTTACAATTTCTACAAGTGAGCATATTGTCTTTGTCAATATCACAAGAGTACTCCGTCACTTTACAGGGATGTCTCGCCATGAGGGAGTGCGGGCTGCTGTGAGAGCATCCTTAGACAAGCATGGGGCTGGAGCTGGAGGAACCAGGAATATTTCTGGCAACACGGTCCTTCATGAATCCTTAGAAGCCAAGCTGGCATCAATCCATCAAAAGGATGCTGCACTGCTCTTTACCTCTTGCTATGTTGCAAATGACTCCACGTTATATACTTTAGCCAAGGCTTTGCCAGGTACTAGAATAATTGTTGCTGTTGTCTTGTCAGTGTTATTTCATGTATATTCAATATAAATCAAAGTTTGTGTAATGAAACATAGTTGATGTGCATAATGAGTGCTGTCTGGTTTTGTTATGGAACTCTTAGTAGGAGGAGTTGTAGTGTCATGAATAGAGTACCTGGAGTGTACCTGGAGAGGGTTCGGGAGTCTATTCCTTGAGCCCGGTCTGGGGCTAGGCTTGACTTGTGATGACTTGGTTCAACAGGCTGTTGTTTGGAACAGCCCACTCACTCCATGAATAGATATTAAAAAATTAGTAAATAGTAAGATTAAGGATGAGAAACTAGTGAAGAAAGTTTATTCAAGTGAATATGTGGGTAGAATAACAGACAAACTATTGGGATTGGTCACCATAATGAGTGAATGAATGAGGAGGTAAGAATTGAGTGTAAACTATGCATGAGAGCACACTAGGAGCATTTTATGCCTAATTCATGAAGCTGTAGAGTTCTGCTTTATATGATTGGTTCTGTGTGGATATTTAGTGCAGTGTAGATATAGTGACTGGGTTTTGGTTCTGTGTGGATACTGTATTTAGTGCAGTGTAGATATAGTGACTGGGTTTATTTTTTGTTGACCTTTAACCTTTTATCTATGCAGTATTGTTCCCCTATCTTTAATAAAATGCATCCTTAGAGTATTATAGCAAAAAATAATGTATAGATAATGAGGGATTAAGAATGGAACTTAGCACTGATATAGATTTCTTCACGTAGGTGCAAGTGAACTTTAATTAGTAGGTGAAGGATGCTATTGTGAAACTAATTTTAATTAGTAGGTGAAGGATGCTAGTGTGAAACTGGTTATTTTATCACGTGATTTTTTGGGAGTAGTTTTTCTTTGTAGTTTTACAAGCACAGCTCTGGCAACCACTAAACAATAGCTTGGTGGTTACTAGGTCTCCAAGAATCATCTATCACCTACTGGGAGCCTGGACAAGAATCTAGCTCACTCTATGAGGTGAGGAGAGCTTGGGGATCAGAGATTACCCAAAACTGAGAAGAAGAAAACATCCCAGAAGCATAGACACAGCAGAACAAGCTACTCCTTGAAGGAAATTAGGCACCTCAAATTGAACAATGCAAATTATCATTACTGTTGGATAAATACCCTAACCATGATGCACCTGACCAGACTGCCCTCTCGCTCTTCCACCTTGTGCCACAGGCTAAACACCTGTTGCCTCTATGGGGCCCATCAACATTTTATTGCTTTCAACCAAGTGGTTCTGGCTTTCCCTAGATCATTATCAGTTATGCTTCATGATTGTGTATTCCACTCGCATCATGTGCCATAGCACTCTATTAAACTCCAACTGTGACATGCATTGTTATCTCTAGGGTCAGCTTGCATTTTGCTATCCCACACCAGAGATTCCTGGTTTTGAGAGGTTATGGGTTTCCTCCTTCTCTACAAGTGGACTACTCTTGAATCGCTTCGCTTCTGGCAGTGTATATGGCTTGTTCCCGCCCTTTGAGACCTGTTAATGAGCGAGTCTGTGGGGCTTGACTCGGAAGAAAGTCTCACTTCTGGCTTCTCTGGATTTAGTCCTTAGTGCTGTTTGCAGTCGAGACAGTGCGAGTGGTGGACAAGAACTCTTTCCTCTGGTTTTTCAAGACCCTCAGCTGTCGACAAATTGACTTGTATGACTCCACATGGAACTGGCAGCTTCCAGTCTATGGCACTGATTCAGGATTGCATTTCATCTGGACTAGGGTCACTAGTCTTGCATTCACGCTGGTTCAGATGCTTTTTGACACATTGACCAGGATAGAGATCTTTGTGGGCTGTGGTCCATCAAGCCCTGCTTCTTGGCCTTTCTTGCTTTTTGTCCCAATCCTCTGCTGCTCCGGAGGTTTCACTTAGTCAGGATTGGCAGCATGACCTACCTCAATGGTTGGAGGCTCTCCACTTTTTGCATATGGAGTTTCTAGGCCTTGTGAACTGCCACTTCTATGGGAGTTGGGTGGAGGACATCTTAAGTGTTGGAATTGAATTTTTCCTTGAGGTGGCGGTCTGAAGCAACTTGGTGGGCTTTCTGCCTCTTCCTCTCTCTTCTGTGTCTGTCCACAGTATCAGTTTTTGTGGTGCTACCCTTTTTGTCCTATTTCTTCTTGGATCATTGGTCAATACCTAATACTTTCATCTAGTACCATTCGGCCTTGGCAGAGTGCCCTTGCCGTGTATACATAGGTAAATGGCAAGTACTCATGTGTGCACCTGCCATTTGAATGCAAGTGCACACACATGGTGTTAGTTTTCTTTCTCTTTTTAGGTGGTTTATTTGTAGTCTGCAAGCCTAGCAACTTTAAATTAAATTAAGTTTTAACAACAAAATAAAAATAGACAAGCTGTGAACACAAGCAAAATACTTATCCATACAAATATCACTCATTCCACTGCACTCCTGCATTCCCTTGCCTTACTGTAATACAATTGCATATTAGCTAACATTTACACAGATTTAAATTTATGATCACCTTTACTTACTGCATTTGAAGCTCTTTATACAATGCTATATGAACTCGGGAGTCAATGTGCATTTCTTAATTTATATCCACAACTTGTGTATATACACTGTTATTATAAAGTCTTGCCACATACATATAACATTTGACAATGTAAAGTCAATGGGAAAGCATTAAATTTCATACACACAACTTTGTTTATCCATGTATTGTAAAGTGGGATTGTGTTCGAGAAAAATATGTATTTGGCTCTTCCTTAAACCACTGTAACTAATTTTGTTTCAGGTTGCCACATCTTCTCAGATGAAGGAAACCATGCCTCAATGATTCAGGGAATTCGCAATTCCGGTGCTCCAAAACATATTTTCCGGCATAATGATCCAAAACATCTTGAAGAAAAGCTTATGTCAGTTGATGTGGCTACTCCAAAGATTGTGGCCTTTGAAACAGTTCATTCTATGACTGGAGCTGTGTGCCCATTAAATGAATTATGTGATGTAAGTAATAACTATACTTCTCTTAAACCACTTCAGTATTTTCTCTGAAGATAACAAGGTAATTCACCTGCTTGCTTCAGAGCATTGTATAAAAGTCTGTAACTGTGTACCACTGAATCCAGTATAGCACAATTCATAAACTGCCTATAGACACTGGAGACATCAAAACAGTATGACCCTTTCCTCTGCTTGCGAGGAATTATCATTTTAATCAAGTATTATTTTATGCATTTTTCTTTTGATAATTATTTGTGAATACAAAAGATGTTTGCCAACAAGGGTATTCTGGCTTAATCAAACTGGAGAAAGAAGAGATTCTGTATCTTAACATGGACAAAGAGACTAAATTGATGAAAAAGTGATCATGGTTGGGGGGAGTAAGGATACTGGCAGATGAATTTAGTTTTGTTTTGCATAAAAATGTCAGGGAAGAGAGCTTATTTTTTAATCTTATTATTATATTAGCCTGATTAAGCAAAAAAGAACCCCCCTCCCCAGCACAAAAAGCACAGTTACAAAAGAAAAAGAAAGAAAAGAAAACACAGCCCAAAAACCCCAAGACCAAATTGCAGAGAGCAAGCAAGTAGGGAGAACATAGCACCACACAGAAAATAACTGGGGGCCCACCACAGTGCACTGATTAAGTCACGTGAACCACAGTTCACCCCACCAACTAAAATACTCCCAACCTGTGACAGACAATCACAGACATCTGGCTTATCAGAATGGGCGAAGGTGACTCCAAGCGAAGAAACCCCTAAAGTGAGCATCCGAATACCCCAAGGAAAAGAACCCCGACCATGCAAGGGCAGCACTCAAAGAGCACACAGGGAAGATAGCCCTGAGCACATGCAGCTCCAAGCACTCTTGAACTCTTGGCTCACACTACACAATCGTGTATAAGAAGGCAAAACACCACTACACAATCGTGTATAAGAAGGCAAAACACCACTTGAAAACTAGGAAACTGGAGCCAGAGTGACACAACAGTGACTAGGCACCATCATAATAGAACTGAAGCATAGTCTCCAATAAATATATATTGGAGCAAATATTTGTAGTGCAACTAATTGCTAAGTTAGGTTCGCTTTGAAGTCTGGTTGAATGTGACCATAATTGGTTTGTTTTCCTTTTGGTTGTCCATTCAAGAAATTAACCAACAGGAGACAATTTGTAGCCAAAAAATAAAAATTTTGCTATAAATATTTGAGTTAGAATTTGTTATATAGCATATATTTTTAAACTTTGTTTATATTTAATGTTTTGTGGAAGTCAGTATAACACAATTGTGTTGATACTTTTTGAGAAATTCATTCCTGGGTGTGAAGACAGGTTTTCCAAATGTGGTCCTCAAAGGGATAAACTCTACGCTTGGTCTCGTCTTGATTAGTTTTCTCATATATGTGTGTAAGCTTTTTTTTTCTACCTTCATTGTATGTAATCTAAAGGAATGCAGTCTTGCCTGTTTGCCTTACCTCGTTGTAAATCATGATACATTAGCCTTCTACAGCAAAGTTGCATCTTTCTCCTGCAACAAAATATGTGGTATTGTTCTCAGGAAGTTGTAGGTAATATACTTACAAAGCTGTATCTATTTAGAGATACTGTATGTTTGTTAATAATTTAATAGACAACTATATTGTCTTAACGCCTTTAGATTTACCTTCTTTCCAATAATATTTATAGACATGCATTTTAATAGTTGAGGTTTTCCTTTAATATTGTGTGGACAAGTTCCTCTTTGCTGTGTATTAATCTATAAACAAAGTGTGCAACCAATGCTTTGCTGCTGATTGGAATATCATTTTAGTAACTATTAAATAATGAATTTCATAATTTAAATTCCAAATTATTAAATTATTTGTTATTTTCGACAGGTGGCACACAAATATGGAGCAATAACCTATGTGGATGAGGTGCATGCTGTGGGCCTGTATGGTGAGAGCGGGGCTGGAATAGCAGACAGAGATGGTTTACACCACAAGATTGATATTGTCTCAGGAACTCTAGGTACAAAAATACTTAATCCAATTCCTTTCATGTGTCATACTTTTGGTAATGTTGAACTAAGTATTTATCTTTGAAGTTACAGTATATTTTCTAATAATGTCTAGTCTTGATACACTAATCATTCATATCGGGGAATAGGTACCCACGTCATCTATGTAGTAGCTCTTTAAGTAGATTATTCAAGCTTACAAGCACATTTAACAGTGATCACATGGAAATCAGATTTAATGTAGAATGGAATTGGGGGGGGCTTCCACGCTTGAGGTGGTCCTCGCCCTTATGGTAAGCCGGTGGTCCTGGGCTTTCTGTCTTGCCCTGGATTAGGGTGTGTTTTTTGGCTGGTAGGGGCACACTGCAGCTGGCACTGCCAGCTCTTCAGCTAGTGAATGGTGCACCTATGTTTCTCCCAAGCTTGCTTGCTTGTTGTTGCTGCTGTTGGGTCTAGGTTTTTTTCCCAGCTTCACTTCTAGTTTGCTGGTGCTTTGTTCACTTGTCTCCTGGGGAGTTCTGGCTTTCACCTTATTAGGCATGCCTAGGGTATGTGCAGTGGAACACCCTTGCTAACCTCTGGGCTTTTCTGCAGTTTCTTGTAGTTTGGTTGCCTGTCCTGACAGGGTTTATCAGTGCAGCTGGCCCCAGTGCCTGGGTTTCCTGTAGGATGAATGAGCCCTACAGGGTGAATGATAAAAGTTAATTTGTGGGTTGATTGTCTCGTGTGCCTCAGGGTGACGATCACCTGTTTGGCTTCCACCATGCTGCTTGTTGTGTTGGTGACACCTTCGACCCAGAGTCATGTGGGACTTGTTCCCCTCATGCTCTCCACATCACCCATTCCTTGATGGATATTCGGAGGTATCAAGCAGCAGTCACATTGTTTAGCAACATGTATGGTTGTGTGTCTGGTTGGATGCTCCGGATCTGCCCCGCTTTGTGTTCAGGGCTTCGGATTTAGGGGTGTTGGTCACCTCAACTGTGGTTCTATTCGCACCTTCTCTGTGGGGTGTTTGTCCTCATCTCTTCCCCCCCCCCCCCATTCTGCTGGCCCCAAAGCGTCTGAGGGTTTTGGACTCGGGGCAGGATTTAGTTGAGGAAGAAGCTTGGGTGGCTCCGGAAGTTGCTCCTTCCAATGCGGGTGCAGAAGCAGTTGAACCACTCTTTCCCGCCGAGGCTTCTGATTCCTTCCAGCTGACTCCCTCTTTTGAGGCCTTTTCCTCGGACTCCACTTCATCTTCCCGGGTGATGGATGTGGATGAGAGCTCAGCCCTGAGGGAGTCTATTTGGAGGTCTTGGGCTCGTTTTGCCCTCCGTGCGGGAGTCTGCTGTTCCAAGGCACTTGGGTTTTTGTATTTCCCTTCCCTTATGGGTTCAAGTTGGGTGGGGCTCCACCCAGGGCCCATTTCCAAGTGGCTTTGGGCTCCCTGGATTAGTCTTTCCAGAGGTGTCCTTCCTCTCAGGAGACCCTCGGTACTTAAATCCTGCGTGACTTGGTTATGCCTTGCTAGCAGACTGTCATTTGTTTTCGGTGGGGGTTTTGCACCACTTTTGTTGACTAAATGCTTGCTTAGTGGGGGGTATCTTTGGTGTTGTGGGGGTATCTTTGGTGTTGTGGGGGTATCTTTTTAATCCCTTTAGTGTGTGCCTCTTTCTGGTGGTGCTGCTGCTGCTTGCTAAGGTGCGCTTCTTCGGCTGCCTTGGTCGGTGATGACTTTTGGAGTCTTGTGCATTTGGCCTCTGTCGTGCGGTTCTTTAGCCTCCTGGAGCTGTCTTCAGATTGACTTTTGGAGGATGTAGGGTCATTTGGTATAGGGGATCTCGTCTGAACCGGTTGATTCCTTGCCTCTTCTTTATGATGACTATGTTGTCATCAACATAGTCATCATGGATCTTTGTTTACCAATATGATTAAGCCTAGTTCAATAAACACATTGAATAGGGTAGGACTGAGTACACCTTCCTGTTGAGTGCAAAGTTCAAAATCTCTTGTTACACTCCTGTGCCCTCGGAACAGTAGAGATGAGTTGCTGTTGAATAGATTGGCTCCTATGATGGATAAAAACCTTTCTTTCCCCATTTTAACAAGTTCAAAACAAGCTTTTTATTACATTCATAGCTTTTTTTTTTTAGATTAATTATTAAAGTTATGTAACCATAAAGTTATGTAACCATGTATGTATGTACCATACATAATAAATTATAGCTCAATACAGTATTGACTTTGGTATACAGTAATAAAAAAAAGTGGTCAATTTAATTATAAATAAATTTGTAGACATTTACCAAGACATTAAAAATGTTGGGGCGAGACAATTGTCTCACTGTGTATGGAAAGAGAAATCTTATATGATTACAACACTCTCATTATATATGTATCATCTTTTAGGTAAAGCTTTTGGTAACATTGGAGGTTACATAGCAGGAAATGGATACCTAGTGGACATGATTAGAAGTTATGCTGCTGGTTTTATCTTCACAACTTCCCTGCCTCCAACTGTTGTTTCTGGAGCATTGGCTGCTGTTAACATACTGAGTGGGCAGGAGGGGCGAATGATGCGTGCAAAACACCAGAAATCGGTTCGCTACCTGCGGAATGCTCTCATGGAAAATGGCTTACCAATTGAACATTGTCCATCCCATATCATACCAGTTCATGTAAGTATACATGCTCAATAGCAAATTATTATTCTGCATGTCATGCAGCCCAGTTATGTAATTAAAACATGTTAAAGAATTAAGTATAATTTGCTAAAAAGTAACTTGCATAGATTAGGCTGAACTGTCCCTAATCCTTCAACTGCATGACACAGCCAGGGATTTTCTATGTAATTATCTGTGCGATACGATCAGAGATGTCTTAAAGTACCACCTAAAATTTAAAAGTGGTTTGGGGTTCTGAGGCCTCAGTACTAACTGACCATGAGTAGCAGCTCACAGGACTACCATGCAGCCACAGCATCACTTAATGATGATGAAATAAAGAAGTAACTGGGAATATATAGTAATGATAGTGCCATACAGGATCCTGACTAATATATTCAGTACAAGGTTCATATATCATTGCTGGTTACAATGTTCACAGCCATACAGTAACAGCACACGGACAGTTTGTTTGGTGTACGCATTGTGTTTAGTTAATTTATTATGCACCCCATACCCATCTTGTGGGCAGTAGTGGAAAGGGTTACATAGGTACATAATGGGCTCAGGGACTGAACCCTTTGTGTCTATGTAACCCTTTCCACTACCGCCCACGTGAAACGGGATTTCTTGTTGCTTTAGAAAATGAAGTTGTGGAAAACGAATCATATTAAGGATTTAGTGACCAGAATTCTGATAATTGGTGTTATGGCTAGAGTTAACAATGATACTATATTGTGCTTGGATTACCACACCTAGAATGGTCCAGGATGGACCTTTCGATCCGTCCTGGACCATTCTCAAGTCGATTGTTTGACACAATCGACTTGAATGGCCCAGGACGGACCGAAACGTCGTCGTCCCTTCACCTTCTAGCGTGTGGTCTGGTCAACATAGTTTAGCCACGTTATTGTGACTCATCGCCTGCATACAAATCCTAATTATGGAGTAAAATATTTAGCTAGTGTAGTGTATAGTAATGAAAGTGTTATATGGCACTAGTTATAAGCAGCCTTCCAGCAGATGTCTGCTAGCAGCATGTTGTTGTTGTGTTAAATAATTATGTGGACATAATGTTACAAATGTATTTTTTACAGGTTGGAGACCCTTTACAGTGTACCAAAATATCGGATGAACTGATTCGTAATTACGGTCATTATGTGCAAGCTATCAATTACCCGACGGTACCCAGAGGCCATGAAAAGCTTCGTATAGCTCCTACGCCCCAGCATACACCAGCCATGATAGATTGCTTTGTTGCTGACCTAATAACTGTGTGGAAAGATCTCGGATTACCATTATGGAATAGCAGCTGCCCTGAGGCAAGTGCATTTTGTTGATGTATAATGAAATTTAATGGTAATTTGATATTGGATTTATTGTAAATATAGTAGAACAATATTGTGGATACTCACATGTGTGCATTTAATAGTATTTCCCCCTTTTTAACATTAAATCAGCAAGCTGGTGAATTAAAAAAAAAATTGTTCAGGCCTGCACTTGTAGACAAGTTCACTTTGAGGCTGGGCTTTGAAAGTGCTGTCTATACGTTCTTCCAGCCATTTTGTACCTGGTAATTTTAGTGTATTCTACGCCATTATCTTTGTGCCCTAGTAGTGCTTACAACCAATTTGCATGTAGTACTTTTGCAGCCATATGCACTGAAAGTGTCAGGATTGGGCTCAAATTACCTGTCCACAAACATTATCCATCTTAGGGTTATAATACACTGTTCATGCATCTGTAGTGATAAAAAAAAAACCTAATGTGAGTGAATACAATAGTACATGTAGAATTTTCAGTAGAGTTGCTGCCATTACCAAAATAATAATATTTTGTATTTCAGGAATGCACCTTTTGCAAGAAGCCCCTTCTCTTTAATGCATTGGAAGCACGAGAGCGATGCAACGCAGACTGTGACAAGCCATACTGTCCCTTGTTGGTGGAATGCCTGTAACCAATCTGCCTTAACCCTGATGGTGACATTTGTGAAATCAGAGCCTTATATATAAAATATATTTCATGTGATAGTGCTGTACATACAGTGTTCCAAAATTCAATGTTAGTTTTAGTATAATGTGCTAGCATATTTAAATGCAAAGCTGATTATAAACAAAAATGTTAATAGTGGCTGAAATTTGTTGAAGGTAAGTATACAGGGTTAAAAAAAAATTATATATATATCAAATTTGTCCATATTAGGCAAGCAGCATGTAAAGTATTTGGGAATAATGGTTATGCTCCCTTAACAATAGACAAGCCAATAAAGCATTAGCCAAAAAAAAAAACAAAAAAAAAAAAATTATGGGATCCCTGGATTTGAAAGTTCTCGTCATCCATCCTATCACAATTGTTGTACTGTACAAATCGCTTGTACTGTCCCAACTTGAGTACTTCTCAGTACTTACTTCAGAGCAGGAGAGATTGTACTCCCATTTTTGTTCTCTATTGAAATAGATGCAATAAAGCACCTAAATTATTAGGACCATCTCAAAGCTCTTTAAATGTACTCGCCAGAAATGACACAAGATATCAAATAATATACATATCCCAAATTTACCCAGTAAAATAATATACTGAAGTGAAGGACATGGAAAAAATGCAGACTAGAACCAGTGAGGCACAGGGGTGCCATAGACACAGAGAACACTGCATAAACGTCAGAGGTCGACAGATGTTCAACATCCTCCTGGTTAGTATAAGACATATGGCTGGAATAACTGTGGACATCTTTAAGAAACTAGGTCGTTTTCTCTCAAAGTGCGAGACATGTGGGACACTACAGAGTAATGGACCAAGCTCTCACAAGTCAAGCCTGCCTAGGAGTAAAAGAACCCTATTAAGCAGGCATACCAGTATGTTCTCAAATATTCCATGGGATAAAGTTTATATACACTAGCATCCCAAAGTCAAATGACTTTTTATCATAAACTCAGTATAGTACAACAATGGTAAGTTTGATTGTCTTTAAATATATACTCAATGATTATAATAGGCAGTGGGTTACTTTGCATTACTTGCTGCTAAATGTATTTGATCTGCAGTAGTACTTCAAAATTAACCAATCATGAATAATGTAATAAACATATATACCAGACATTCATACTATAATTGAACCTCTAAATTTACATAAATGTGTTTAGTAAATACAATAATATTTGAAATGATCCTATGTGGTGATCATTTATTAATTTTGTTTTAATACAACCTGGAATCACCATATTGCATGAAATGAGGACATGCTGTGACAATTTTTCTTTAACTATTTTAGCAGCCTATGAAAGTAATTATCAAAGAAGGCACTATGGAAGACTAAGCTGGGCAAGCAACAACATAACATGTTAAACATTACTGTACACTGCATTTCACAAGTATGAATTATCCCCATAATGCACCATATAATTAATTTAACAATGTTTAATAATATCCAAATCAGCAACTTAGGTTAAGGGTCAGGCCCCTGAACACCATAACACAGGGCCTGCATTATATATAACATGTCTCCAAATCAATACAACTGTAGCACAATACATGTAAATATGTACTATCTTGCTACTTTCAACATTTAACTATACATGCAACTAATCCAACTGCATTATGAACCTATTGCAAACACTGTACCAAAGCATTATAACCTTATACACAACATTTCCCCACAATTATTAATGTTGTCAACCTAAGATCTTATTACACCATTGACAATAATGTACAATTTACACAATGGAATTTCACCCTGCAACAGTGAGCACTGTCCTCAAATACCTGCAGCCCTCTACTCAGTGAGCCTACTAGTCTAAGTGGACCAAGTACACTACCTTCACATAGGGGTACGTGATGCAGGCGGAACTCATCTGAGCCACTCCTCCCCTTGCTGCTGCCAGATGTCTTGCAGTCCCTGATCTGAAGGGGCCCTGGCCTACCGCACACTCCTGTCCCACCTTGTGCCTGTAGCCTTCATGTTCAAACTGCACAGCAGCAACGACCCCACACATTCCTTCTTGGTCATGCAACTACCTAAAGAGAGAGAGAGAGAGGGGGGGGGGGGAAGGAATGTTGCACAGGGCCCCCACCCTGCAAGAACCTATGCCTGCCCATTACACATTGTCTCGTGCTCAGGCTGTTGGCACTCTGCACCGTCCTTCCACACTACACCTGGGAGCCGGTGGCAGAGCGGACAGAATACTGGACGGGTGATCCTGTGGTCCCGGGTTCTATCCCGAGCACCGGCGAGAAACAATGGGCAGTTTCTTTCTCCCTGATGCCCCCTGTTACCTAGCAGTAAATAGGTACCTGGGAGTTAGTCAGTTATCACAGGCTACTTCCTGGGGGTGGAGGCCTGGTCGAGGACCGGGCAGTGGGGACACTAAGCCCCGAAATCATCTCAAGATAACCTACCTTTGTGCAGGCAAGGCTGTACATACTGCAGGAGGCAAGCACACACTGTGACAGGCATAACTTCACTTCGAGTATAGCCCCATCCACTTTTCCTACGCCAGGCACAGCACGAGCAGGACACCAGCCCTCCAACTGCAAGCCATGTCTGAGCAATTTCAAAGACACCACAGCCAGGAACACCTTAAACATGTGGTAGGGGAGTTTACACCTATTTACTAGTTTAAATGCTCCCATGTCAGAGCCATCATCCTGCTGTTACTATCGCATCTTGACAGTCATCTAATGATGATGACATTATGAAGCTACAGTTTATTCGATTCCATCCTGTGCTGGACTATCAGTAATGTGTTTGTTGGTTTCAACCTGCTAACACTTTTAAGTGTTCGAAAAGTCTGCTACATTATACAGATGGTACAAGGTGCTTCTTAAAATACAAGTAAGTAATTATCAAAAGAAGGCACCAAACCGGGAAGGCTCTTAAAATACAAGAAGCATTTTTGCCTTCGTGTTTTGATTATTCCTATAATATGCCATTTTTTTACGCCTGCACCACAGCAGATTTTAATCAGTGGTGGATTAAAAGTAAGGTCTTCTAACATGATTACTAACCCTTTTACATTAATTTTTCTTTCAATAGAGTGGTTTTACTATGTTTTGTAGTTTTGTATGTGGTTTCTACTTTGATATTTTTGTTTTTTCCATAGCGCAGCAATTGGAACATATCCATAGGAGCCGGTCGGCCGAGCGGACAGCACACTGGACTTGTGATCCTGTGGTCCCGGGTTCGATCCCGGGCGCCGGCGAGAAACAATGGGCAGAGTTTCTTTCACCCTATGCCCCTGTTACCTAGCAGTAAAATAGGTACCTGGGTGTTAGTCAGCTGTCACGGGCTGCTTCCTGGGGGTGGAGGCCTGGTCGAGGACCGGGCCGCGGGGACACTAAAAGCCCCCGAAATCATCTCAAGAAGATATCCTCACTGAACATCATGTTATTTTCTGTGGCCCATTGAAAGGCTTGATTAACATCAAATTAGAGGTTTGCTGTGTCCTCACTATTGTCTACTCTCGTGAAAATTCTAGTGTCATCTGCAAAAGATGATACAGTACTGTACTATAGTTTGTATCCTTGTCTATGTCTAATATGATGATGACAAAAAGTACTCGAGTAAGCACCTTACCTTGGGAGATTGAGCTTTTCAAGGTGGGTGATTCAGATTTTATTTTCTTGATAATTATAATCTGGATTCTGTTTGTTAGGAAGTTAAAAGATCCATCTTGCTACTTTGCCAGTAATTCCTTTTGTGCGGATTTTGTTAGCAATAACACCATGGTCACATTTGTGTAAAGCTTTAGCAAAATCTGTGTATGTGTGTTTCATCAGTGTTTTGTTTGTCTTGCATGGCACTAAGGCCATATCATAGTGGTCTAGCAATTGAGAGAGACAGGAGCACCCAGTTTTGAATCCTTGTTGCCCAGGGTTAGGTAGACACTGAGATTCCATGTGTTTTGTGATCTTGCTTCTTAGTATTTTCAAAGATTTTTATGATGAATAATGTTCAAGCTATTGATCAATAATTTTTTGCATCTGCTTTACTGCCTCCTTTGTAAAGTGGCAAAATCTCTGCTATTTTAAGTACAGTATTATCAACAGTATCGAGGCTCCATCTACAATAGATGTTTAGTGCCTGTGACTGTTTTTTTTTGTAATTCTTTACGAATATTTAATTCCTGGAGTCTGGGCCTGGTACAGAGTACATGGGCATGTTATCTATAGCTACTTCAAAGTCAAGTGGGGGTTAGGGTAACATCTAATACTGTATATGGTTCAATGCTTGTGCCACATTCAAAAACAATTCATTTGGATCATTGATCTGCAATATGTTCAGGTGGTCACTGAAAACAGAATCATACTGTACCCTCAGTATTTCACTGATCACTTCACTGTCATCTGTCACCAGGGTTGTTTCATCAATAGTGCACAACACAACCAGGGTTGATCTTGCATAAGATTTAAAACTCCCACAGGTATATGGTGCTCACATCTGTTCTTCAGGGCTCCAGTAAACAGCTACCATCTTGAAAAAAACAAAAAAATTGTCTGCATTGCTCCTGGCTTTGAAATCTACAGAACTGAGAGAGCAACCAAGGGTGATGCATGCAGTAGAAATTCGCAGCACTGCTGTGCAGCTAGGTGACACAGCACCCTTTAATAAGGAAATAAGTAACACCGATTATTTTGTGATGATAGTGCCATAGATGATTCTGACTGCGATAAAGACTATATACAACATTCAGATATCAGTGAACACAATGCTAGTTATGGTGATCACAGTTTGAGACAGACAGCTACAGCACTTGACCATTGTTTTGTACATCTTCGCACCATGAAACAACCTTGTGCTCCTGTACAATATTACTTTGTGGAAATGGATTCATATTCAGGATTTAGTGACAAGAATGTGATAATAATAGCAGCTGTGGCTACTCTTAGCAATGTGCATAGTCTATTCGAGGATTTTCTTGCATCAGGTGACATCTGCTTGTATTGCGTGGTTCTATACTGTGTTTTGATTTCATCACACCCACCAGAACTACTTATTGGTTATCTATGGTGCATAAAAATGTTGATAGATAAATATGATGTATGTATACAGTTTAATAACAGCAAAAACTGTATGTGTTATTGTTCAAAGAATATAATATTTTAACTCATTAGTGCATGCTACGCATATTGTACATCTGTGAGTGCTGTACCAATATTCTACACGTTTTATGATACAAACATTATTATTGACACCCCAATGCATTATTGCATTTGAAAAAACTATGGTAAATACATTTAAAATACAAAGAAGATACAATATGTTCAATGCATGCTTTTACAACTTCATGTAAATAATGCAAGACTAGGTTAAACTCTAATAACTGGTTATAAGGGTATTACACTCACCAGAAAAAGCTTAGTTCTTCATAATACTGCATAAAAACCAGTGTTGAATGTAATGAAATGCCAGTTTCTGGGTGAGCCCTGGAGGCTCCCTGAAGCTATCCATAGTGATATAGAGAAGTGCTATACTATTTAGAGTCATCAGTCACCAAGTTCTTGTACCAGGGACCAAGAGCCAGAACCTGGCTCCCTCAGAGAGGTGCAGGGATCAATGGCCCATGAACACTTTACATTTAAATTATGTCATCTTGCCACTGAACAGGGAAGGCACCCAGAAAGGTAGGCAAATCAAAATAAACTACTGCATGGTTGAAAATTGTGACCTACAGCCTCAAAAGAGCAAAAGAACTCACCCACAAAGAAAACAAACAAGCAAAACTTTGTTAGCTAACCCCCCCCCCCACTCATTAGTGCCACTAACCCATGGGGGGAGGGGTACCAGCCCGGGCTGTCCACCAGCCAGTTCTCAGAATGATGAAAGCCACTGACTGGAGGAGGAAGGGTGTCAGGGAGCCTCTGGGGCTCACCCAGATACTGTATTGGCATTTTATTACACTCATGCCAGTTTTTTGTGAGGAGCCCCATCAGCAAACTACCCACAGAAAAGGAAAAAACAGGGCTTACTAGGGAGGCGGCAGCACCAAAGGTCTCAATTCGAGGAAGGGACCCTTGGCCACGGCAGATGGACCAAGGCAACAAAAGGCCGCAGAAGGCCTGGGACATTCACCAGATACCTGGCAGCCAGGACCCTTTTGG